AGCACCAGTTATCTTTAGAAACCAACTGTAAACGAGAAATGCAGTGTTATGGTCCCTTCACAGTGTAAACATGTTCAAATAATTCCATAGCTCAGGAGACCCATCATCTAAATGAGTGGTACACATAGCTACCACTGTCTAGGTTTACATCGCCTCTTTGAATTATTAATATCAATTCTTGAAAATCGGTAAAATAATTATGATTTTACCTAGTAAGAGACGAAAGGGAGGATATTCATATGAGTAGAGTACGAAGCACTCTTAAAGGTGCTTTATATCTTTACTGAATATAAATTATAAAATCATCTTTAGTCTACCTTTTCTTTTTAGTAACGTAAAGATGTTTATAGCAATGTTAATTGTTCACATGCTTTTAGTAGATTTAATTTCTTGATATAATTAATAAGGTACATACAACTGATTCTTGTTAGGACAAATATTTAATTGACAAATATTATAGAGTAGCTACTATAAAAGCCATCATGTTGATATTGTAGAAATATGGAAAAGATCATTTAAATCTCTGCCCTTGTGGACTGTGCTTTCATATTGTAGATATGCCTTTAAGATAAAACTGTTCCTTAACATATCGTATTTTTCTGTATTGGAAGGATGGTTTAGGTAATTTATATGGATCCCTTCCAGCTCATATATCTATTAATTATGTGAATTAACCACTGGGATAGTAGAAATATAAACCATTTTTTAATTTATCTCTGTATCATTTGTTACTTTATGAAGTTTAATATATTTATATCTACTAAATATAACTGAAAAGGACATTGTCCATTTCAACCTTGGGTTAACCAAATGTGATTCATTCTAAAATAAGAGCCTTCCTATCTTCCTAAATTATCACTAATCTTAGGAGCATAGAAATCACTCAATACAAAGAAAAAGACCTTTAGAATGACATTAAAATATATTGCTCTTGTGAATTGGGAAACTATGCATTTGCTATTGATGTGAGACTCCCCACGGAGCTCCTCAGCAATGTTTGAAATCCATAACTATGTGCAACCCAAATAGAAAACCTATAGCTTGCCCAGGACAGCATTTCTAATCAAGTTATCCTGTTACAGAGTGAGACTCATAGCCTAGCCAAACAAAGCAGAGCACTTACCAAATACAAGTCTCTGCTGTCTGCAGAGGCTACCTGGCGTTCAGAAAAATCCTGGATGCCTGTTTTCAGAATGGGATGGCAAAACCAGGTGACATCTGACGCAAGAGCATTTGTTAGGAACAGGCTCTATCCAAGAGAGAGCTCATCCCAATTCAGTAAAGGATTGCCAAGACAGGAAGGGGAAATTAACTTGTTAATTGGTGAATGAATGGAGAAACTCATCACCTAGCTTCCTCAACAACTTCCAAAGGTATTGGCTACTCTCGCAAATGAGAGACTTGGGCTCTGTCTTCCTCAAGCCTCCCCTAATACCTCAGCTTTTTTAGGTAAGAATAGCTGGCATTTCCCTCAAGGGGACATTTGTGAGTGGTTTTGGTTATCTTTCTGAGTGCCTGAGAGATTGCATTTTAGAAGGAACAGGAAGACCTGGATTATCTTAAAACCTACTAAGATAAGTGTTTATTGTATAGACACTCAGGAAATTTTTATGGAAGAAAGGGAGAAACAGAGAAAGCAAGTGAGAGCGAAGGAGGAGCAGAAGAGAGAGAAGGGCCACGCAGGCAGGGATTATTGTCCATGCTGCAGTCCTTGTCCTTCCTTCTCTGCAGACGGAGAAGAAAGCTGTGCAGGAAGAGCCGTGCAAGCCCCTTAAAGGCTCTAAAGTCAGGCAGTCTTCTCTCAGTCTTCCTGTCCCCCACCCCTCCCCTTCTCTGAAGGTGGCTTCATCTGGAGGATTTCCAGGAAGGCCAGAGACAGGCATCTTGGATTTGGGTTCTGCCTTCTAGGAGGCAGAGGGGAGTTGGCAGAGCCCACGATGTGTTTACACTGCAGCTTCCTCACTCCACAGTGTCCCAATGCCTGTAGCTGCAGCAGTTTAGCAGGAGGCAAGATGGTAGAAGAATGATCATGGCGCCTGCAGTGTCTCTGAAGGAGAGGTTCTCTAAAGGATTCTGGGGACATGGCAGGGCAGGGATGGAGATGGGGCTGGCAATCCTCAAACAGGAGCTGAAGATCCAACTGGATCTCCAACTGGATCTTTAAAAACCTCCAAAGAATCCAAAGAAAGTGACTGTGGTGCAGAGGAGGCCAGGAAGGCCAGGTTAAACATCTAAAGAGATGGATCTATTGGAGGTGAGGGGCAAATAAAAAGAAATAGAAAGAGACCTGACACATAAGGAGAGGCAGAGAAGGGAAGTACTACTGTGTGAAAAAGAACCCTTGGGACCCTTTCAAAAGATGTTTTGGGAGCCAATAATTACTTATTTGAAGATTTCAGCAATGTCACTGAGGACATTAAAAGTGCAGAGAGAGGGGACCATTTCCACTCAACATTACTTTTTAATTGTTTATTCCACAGACTAGAAGTTAATTGACTTTTCCCTAGCTCATGGCACTGGGCCTCAGTTCCTCATCTGTAAAAGAAGGCATTTGGATTAGATGCTTTTGAAGGTCTGGGCCAGATGAGACCCTCTACACCTGTCAGTCTGTGAACCACGGTATCCGAGACCAAACGTCTATGAACTTCAACACCAGACCCCCCTTCTTCTTCCACCGCCCATTTATCAATGCAGTGCACACCTGCAGCACTCGTGGAGCTGATTCAACTCTCAGTGATGACAAGGAGTATGGCTCAGTTGTGACAAATGATTACTCCTCCCACCCTGAAGTAAGGAAGAGAGGAACAGGGAAGGCAGTATAATTTATACTTTAGGTTTTCAAGGAGAGGTTATTCTCAAATTTTCTATTTCCAATTTCATCCATTTAAATAAATTATAAATTCCTTTGAGTAGGTTCTAAATAGTTGGACTGGCAAAAGGTTAAAGACCTCTATAATAATCTTGCCCTATTTTGGGAAAAATTCATTTCATCCCAGAAATTGGATCTGCTTTTTCCATGGAAATCCAGCACACACTGGCAATGCTCTTCTCTTGTCTGCCTGCCTCATACCATTTTGCCAGCCGGCTTCAGTGCAGCATTTTCTGGGGTTATTAAGCACCCAAGCTTAATGTGTGTGCACTCAGGGGTGAGGTGTTTAGTGGTGCAGAAGCCCCCCCTCTCCCCATACACATACCACCACCACCACCACCACCACTCACACATGTAGGCACTTTTTATGGTAGTGGAGATAAAATGTGTTTTCGCAAGAGTTTCCTTTTTAATCTGTCTCAGCCTGAAATTTATTTTAAATTAAAAAACATTAATATGTAGAAATACAATTCCTTTGCTCCTCTTGTCTTGAAATTGGATGTGACACAGAAATAGTATACACTTGTTTTCTACACCCACTGCATTTCCATTTCATTTTAGTCTCCAAAATATGGGCAGGAGGGTAACTCTAGAAAAATGGATTCCCACTCTGGCATCTCACAGGGCACTGATCCGTGCAGTGCAGTGAGGAGCACTTGCATGGAACATCACTGTTTCCTCCCGCAGCCCCCTCCCCCATTCACCAGCACCTCAGATTTCCACAGGGGGGTTGACCTTGCAAAGACCCTTCTCCCCTTTCTGGGAAGGAACAATCCATTTTAACAAAAAACACAAAACGACCTTTCCTCCTTTACAGAAACACTACCAAAGGCACCGCGCCTGGGCTCCCGTTTCCCACCCCGCATTCCAGGATGCCAACGCCAGGCAAAGGCAGGTAGTAGCTCGGGTCTGGCTCCCCATCCAGCCGCTCTGTCTCCGACTCTGTTCAAAACAGGGGGCTGAGCGTGCGGTGCAACACCTTTCCTTTTTCTGCCCATTCACCATCACGATGAAAAATAAAAAAGGAAAAACTATCCACTCATTTCTAAATACTGAGAGAAATGCGCTTATTTTGCGTCTAGCTGCGTGGTTCTGAACACTAACATCCCGCTTGGAAACCAGCCCTGATTTCCGCACCATCTCGTCCGCTCAGTTTTACTCAGCACACACCTTCGCTGCTCTCCCACGGCGAGAAAAATGGTGCACTAACCCCGCGAATGACAGGTTGCCACTTGACTGCAACGGCTCAATAGTTTCATCAACCGGAAAACTTCACAATCGGTCAATTAGTTACTTAAATTTCTGCAAGGAAATTCTCCTACTCATAGACTTAAACTAAAAAAGCACCCCTGTTTCACCTTTCTTAAATCTAGCCGAAGACAACCCC